TTTTAATTTTTTCTATGGAGACACATGAGGTGTTATATACTGATATGTTACACACCTTTGTTGTTCAAGTTTGCAACACATATCAAGAGCAAAAATAGATAATGTTTTTAAGTAGTTACACTATAAAACAAATCAACAGTATATTAGATATTAGTCTATATATCATCTTTATATTCAAAATTACATTACATAATATATAGCTAAAAATAATTTATGTTTGAAAGGAATTGAAGCAAATTAATTAGTTGGAATTATTCGAATAATTGGGGAAATAGTGGACCTTGTCATGTGAAGGTGCCCTCCACAAGATATTTGGCGTTACTTACAAAAATTGTGTGGTTGAGTTTGAATTAAATATATTGTTTTGTAATATCTATAAAATGATTCTTTATTTTTTAATCAGGCTGCCCAAATTCCAGGACAATGTAGACAAAGTAATAGATATTTTTAAAACATGCAGGGTTGTTTAATAAAAATGCTCAAATAAAATACAAATTTTGAGCTAGAGAAATTTTGCATGATTTGAGATTTTATACAAAAATGTTAATTAAATTAATCAATGTATTTGAAAAATTTGTTTCCCTCAAATTATTTTATATTGATTGGAACAAATAGACAATTCCCAAGCTCACTATCAGTCCTTATTAAGCACTTCTTATGAGTTATGAGATTTATGAAATTTATAAAAAAAAAAAAAAGGTTATGATATTTCAAAGCATAAGTATGTCAATTTTTTAATAAAGTATGTGATCAGATCGACCCTCATAAAATTAAGTCGTCTCTTATAAGAATTTTTGCTAGCATCAAGGGAATGTTTGCATGAATACTAAGTCTTGTGTGAGGAGGCCGAACAGACTGTCATGTCATACTGTGTGAACAAAAATACATAATATGTTACGATATGTCATATTCATTTTATGTTATTGTTTATAGTATAATATTTTCTGCGTGTTTAACTCCATTGGATAAATGACACGTGTACATGATGATATCATATTTATACACGTATCAGTCATCCAACGAAATGGAACATGAAAGTAGAGTAGGAAATATGATAGAAGACAAACCAATAAGGTAGAGGCTCATCTTGACATATGGATTAGTTTGTTTAGTATAATTGTTGTGAAATGGCAATCTACTTTTATACATGCAACCTCATAACCAATGTATATTTGTTTGGAGGAAATAGGAAATGTAAGGTAAAACATCATGATAAAATGTGAAGATCATAAAGTGGAAGTTGGGTTTGGGGACAAGCAAAAAAAGGTACAATATGTGTGGTTTTAGATGTGCCTCCTCCATGTGCTAGCTATGTAAAGGGTGAGGTGAATGAGCCCTCACATGACCCATCTGGATATATAGTTTCTACAATACTAAATCTAAATTTAGATTGAAGAATATCTTTTTTTNNNTTTTTTTTTTTTTTTTTTTTTTTTTTTTGCCTATTTTGCTCTTTATATTTTCTTAAAAATCACCCGTGAATGTATATTGTTTCACGAACCACTTCCTAATCAACACGGTTTTTCAAAATTCTTGATTTGGTTTCGACTCACGAAACAAACGTCGAACATTGCTTGTTAGCAACACGTTGACACTGCACCACATGGACAATTTCAGTCATTTATGTTAATTTTTGATTGATAGAAAGGTCAGTTCGCAAATTATTGAAACTTAGTTTTTCCTTTCATGAGTTCCTTCCATGAGTGATGTAATTGTTCAACAGTCCATGTATATATGGAGCTATACATGCACCCTAAATGCATTCAAGCCACTTAGGGAGAAATTCAACAAACGTATAAATTAGGTCCATTTTCCCCGTTTAACCAAATACTAATTAATTCATACGTAATATTTCAGCACGTTCTCTCACTTGTAAATCTTTCTTAATTCATTCCAGATTTATTAATCAAATCACTTAAGGGTGCAGATCATACTCGTTATGATACCATTTGTATATTTCTGGAAAATGGTATAGGGCTATAAAGCACCTTAATTGGATAAACTATATTGCACTTCATGTCAAATTTTATCTCGAAATTAATTGGTGATGGAGAAAATAATTTGCTAAACATATAAACTATGTATATTTTTCTATTTTACTAACTTGGGACAACTAAAGTGATATTCCAAAAGTTTTCTTGATGTAAATTTAGGGAAATGCTGCAGTCACGTTACGGAATCATTCCGTCGAGATTTGTAATCGTTAGATCCTCATGTAACCGTCATGAATAGTTGATCTGACGATTACAAATCCCGACAAAATAGTTCCGTAACGGGACCGTAAAATCTCCCGTATTTTTTGGTACATATATTTTAAAGAAAAAAACGAACATTTTTGCAACACAATTTATTTATTTTTCTCACCCTGTGAAATCACGTGCGTACATTACGTAGCGACTACTCTTTGATTTATGCTGCGTATGTTTTACATTATTCGCAACAATTGGCCTCTTTACATATGTACAGCAAGCACGTGCCTAGTCGGGTATAAAGTGTATTTTTTGCTCTGCCAAATCCAATTTAATGTGGCTTTTCAAATGTGAATAAATGTTTCATAAATATTGGACTAATTAATTAAGATACATATGTTGAAATTTCATATTTACTAATCAGATTAAGAAAAGCTTCTATATTATGAATAAATGGTCTCTACCAATATGAATACACCATATTACAGTGAAGGGAATGTTACGGTCTTGTTACAGAACCATTCCGTCGGGGTTTGTAACCGTTAGATCAACTATATCTGACGTTTACATGTTAATCTAACGGTTACAAACTCCGACAAAATGGTTCCGTAACGAGACCGTAACATTTCTTGAATCGCATGCTTTTTTTATTTTTTAAGTGTTATGAGAAGAATGTGTGTTTTTTCTTTAATTTAATCAAAAAAGTAGTTGAATATGGACGAAATTTATATTACACGAAAAATGACAAATGTGGGTACTGAA